GGTTAACCTGCTCAGTCAGGATTATGAACGCCTCCATCAGCACTCACCCTAAACCATCAAATAGGCTTGATCACTTCATCTCTACGAAGACAGCAGCCCAGGTTAGGAACTGTGGGCAGAATACTGACATGAAATCCCATTCAGTGTAGTATTAAAAGTCGAGGATTTACAGAGAGGACATATGGAAAGGCTTATGAACCTTATTTTCATTATAAAGGCATTATAAGAACATTACAAGCCATTTGGAGAATGAGGGACAGAAGAAGGGATCACCCAAAGTTCTAACACTCAATACAACTATTTTCATTTATGTATTTACTTCCAGGCCTGATTCCTACACACATGGGGTTTCCCGTGGCTACACTGAGTTCACATGTCCTCCTCTCTAATCTGCCCCCTCACCCATTCTGAGTTAGATCCCAAACATTATCCCTTTTTCTTATTGTCATCACAGTTTTCATGTCTGATGACTGCATGAAGTTCCTGAAAAAGACTTTCCATAAAGTAACTAACCGTCCCTTTACTGAAATGTACTTGGCTTTTGATTCTTCAGTTATAAATAATTTAGTGGGAAAATTCATACATATAGTTTTTTCCCCTCTGAAGATAATTTTCTTAGGGCAAAACCTCAAAAATAGGATTGATAGGTTAAAACTATAGATATTTTTCTATAGTTTCAAATATAGTATCATCATGTTATTTTAAAATACATTATTTTGATTATAAAGCTATTCATGGATCACTACACAACATTTGATAAACACAGTAAAGCATGAGGAATAAAACATCCCTCATAATTCTTTAATTCAACTACTACTAATATTCACTGGGTTTCCTTCAGACTCTCCCCTCTCTTTATTCTTTCCCCCTCTCTTTAATAGGTAGGTCTGTCTAAAATTAGTTTTATTATTTGTCAAGACTTGGCCTCCTAAATGAACAGTTACACGGGGCTTTGGCCTTACCTAAGGCAGTCAGATGAGCATGTCTGTGCAGTCATCATAATCAGGGGATCTTATGAGAGTGCAGAGCATTTGTGGTTTCTCACTGCCTGACAGCTTCAATACGCCCAGGAGTTTCTCCACGTCAGCTGTTGCAGGCCGCTCATTCACCCTCCCTGCCAGAAGACCTCGTTTGTTTAGTATTCCTATCAAATGCAGCTTAGCTGATTTCATGCAGGACCTGCATTCTAACATCAGTGTATAAAAGGCTTGTGAAGAGTAGCCAAACCTACCTTGAAAACCCTTTAGGGAGAACAGCATAGCGCCTCTCAGTGAGTCTAATTAGCTCATTTTTCCTACATTGTGCTAATGGTGCTCCTTCGGTTGAGCACCAGATGAAGCAGTTGTTTTGCAAAGAAGCCATATTGTTTAAAAAAAATACAAATATTTACCAGCTGTGTCATACAGAATAAACATTCAGTGGAAACCAACTCTGCCTGAAGAATGTATATTTTATACACATGTACAAGAGCTGATCAAAAAATACAGTGTTTAAATTTTTTAAAAATTATTACAGTAAAGGCATATTGTCATTAATCTCCTTTAGAGTATTTCTTTTGACTTGGAGTACACTTATTCCATCATTTTTACCCCTTCTGAAGCAGGTTGTGGGTCCTCTTTTGTGGATGTCATTATGAGGTGTAATTGAAAGGAAAACAAATGGTGAATGGCACTGGCAATGCCATCCAACAGAAAGGCAGGCTCATAAAAATATTACCGTGTGTCTTCACCCACCTTGTCCCCCTGATCTGGCATTGTGTGACATCTGGCTCTTCCCCGAGGTCAGAATGATCAAGAAAGGTCAATGTTTTGAGCTAATCCAGACCACTGAGGCAACTAGGACAGCAGAACTAAAAACACTCACAAAAGGAGACTTCCAGAACTGCTTCAGGAAATGGCAAGAACTATGAGATAAGTGTGTTGGGGGGGGCTATCTTGACGGGATTAATAGCAATGTGTTTTTTAACTGTTATAATTTTTAAAATTTAAGCATTCACTGTATTTTGTGGTCGCACCTGATATTTGTATATTGAAGTCTGTACCTCATACACTCATTTGATAGAATGACATGAGGAATCACCCTCGCTCTAAATTGTTATTCATTCTCTTAGTCGTGCTTCTTTCCTCTGTTTCTTCTCTTTCTTTCCTTCCTCCCATCCTCCTTCCTTCTTTCCTTCTCTTGGTCTGCCCTTGCTTCCTTCCTTCCCTCTTTTTATTCATTCTGTTTCCATATAATTGAATCTATGCTTGTTTGGTGTTCCTGAAACAAGAGCCACTGTAGTTATTTGTTGTGATTGGAGCACTGCTCACAGTTGAAATTTTACCCATACCAGCAGCACAGCCCTTTTGCTCAGCATCTCCCCAGGCAAGGTAGTGCCTGCCTGTCTTCCGTGCTGCCTGCTCGCTACAAATGTGTCTCTGGCAATGACGAAGTTCAGCTCTTCTCCCTCACCCTGTGAAAACTTTCCTGAATATGCCACATCCTTACTTCCAGCCATTTTTGCCATGGTGTGGTTTCCAGGTACCTTGCCTTCCTGGCTTGCTGTTAACGTTCGTCTCGCTGGGAAGAGAAGGACTGTGGATCTCGGGCAGAATTCCTCAGCTCATTCACTGGCCAACTGAGCAGCAGCAACAGGGAAGTGGAACTAGCAGCAGCACAGAGGAATGGTGGGAGCCTGTCACTGGGACAGCCAGCCTCTCTGCAGCTCAGCTCCAGCAGCCTGCATCCCAGGTTTATGGATGGCACCTGGTGAAGCAAAATGATGCAAACCCAATGTGAAATCCAAGTATACCATCATCTATCTCTGTTTGGATCTTGTTTGGGGTTTTATTAATGACAGTGGATTTGATTAAACAAAGTTTACACTGTAACTAACTCCAGCTGGATCCAAGCATCAATGGGAAACCCCTATTTCCCTGATGTTATCCTTTTGTCCTATCCACTCATAATTTCGTTCCAAAACATTTGCTCGGAATCTGATAATGGTGAGGTCACATAATCTCATATATTTTAAGGGTAAGTCTGGCACACCCAGGCCAGCAGCCCTGCAATGAAGGACTTTTGCACTGAAGTTACCGTGTGCCTGAGATGTGACCTTGTCCCAAGCTAGGGGGTGAAGTCACAGCACTATTCTGCCAAGGCAATGTTATCATTGGGTTTGGACTCAGATTTGGAGTTTTTCCAACAGAAATCATATTCTAATACGTTGTTAAATGATAATTCAGGATTATATTTTAAGGTTACCAGAAGCTGGTTTGGTGAAATTTGGGTCCTTTGGGAGGCCTGTGGCTTATTGTAAATGGCGACTCCTTGGGCTTTTTCTCTAGGGAAATCCAGGAGTCACATCTCTCTGGCACAAGCCAGGGTCTGTGGGTCTGCTTATGGTTTGCGCAGTGATTTCTTCCTCTTAGCAGAATGGAGGTCAAGGTCATCTTCAAGGTCTTTTCTCGGTCTGTCTCCTTCTCCCTGTCACTCTTTCTCTGGTTCTTCTCTCAGGCTGATTGCCCTCTTGCTGCTATCGCTTCTTTGCCTTTTGAATCTCTTTCTCCATTTTCCTTTTGCTTTGCCACTTTTTTCTTTTTTTTTTTTTTTTGGTTTTTCTCCGGTACCAGGAACTGAACTCACAACCTTGCACTTGCCAGGCAGGCGCTTTGCCAGTGGTGCTTTGCCACTTTCCCTCTGTCATTTTCTTGCCTCTGTCTCCTCTAATTTATTGTCCTTGCTCTTTTCCTCCTATTCTGCTCCCCTCTCTGTTGCTTCTTGCTGTAGCGTCATCTTGCTCTTTCCACGTTTTCGTTTCCCTGTATAAAGATAGTAGATTTCCTAAATGTACAACAAATCCCAACTCACTAGTTTCTCCCAGTGCCCACAGGTGTTGAGTTGATTCAACTCCATCAGATCATGACTCACCCATTCTTGCCACAGCATTCATCAAGCTCCAAGCTGATGGGAAACCAGATAGGCATTTCTCCTTCTGTGCTTGAGCTGGGCTCAGCCACAGGCTGGCCTCTAATTGGAATCAGCAGATCCAGCACCAGGGCCAGGGCCAGCATCAGTGCCAGCATTAGTCAGATCTCCCACAGTGCCAGGTGGGGACAAGGCCAAGTCGTGTAATTAATGGCAAGTGTGTGCTCTTCTGATGTGTCTGCCAGAATGTCACTGTTACCCTGTAAGTGGCAGCCATTGTTCACCGGTGAAAAGCCTTCCTCTACTTCTCACCTGCATATTTAACTGTTCTGGAGACTCTAAGAGAAGACAGTGGCCCAGTCTCTTCCAGACAGAGCTTCTAGAGGTGATAGGCTGGTGTGCAGAAGGAACTTCTAGAGTGTTTCCCCAGAGCTTGCATGCAAAGCCCAACACAGCAACATGATTTCTAATATTAAACCATCTACTCAATTCAAAGTGCAGAAGAGGCACTTTGTCTCCCGGCTAGGTACTCTGTATATGTTTCATGGTGCAAGATTCTCATTCTTTTAGGAAAGGGACCTTTTACCTGCTGACTATAAAAGCAACTATATCTGCCTCAAAAATACTGATGAAAATCCGATCTCCTCTTCATTGCCTTGCGATTTATTTTACCACTAAATTTGGGGAAGAAAAAGATCAACAACTTACAATTGAATCCACTTCTGAATGTTCATCCTCTTTTGATCTCTCTGCATTTCTGTTAAGTGCTTTTTGCCTTCCACTCATCCCTCAAACCAAAGTCATTGCTTGGCATTTTCTTGTTTTAGAAAATGACAAATAGAGCAAGCAGAGAAAACACTGTATGTTTTGGACTAAAAATGAAATCATTAGGGTAAGTTTCTATTCTTGTCGCCTGGAATTTTACTCTGGTTCTGATTAAGCTCAACAAAGATATTATATTCGATGCTTTCCTGTAAATGTATGAGATGGCTTGCTATTGCATGTCCATGAATGGAAATATTAACAGACTCCACTTGGCTTCCTCAGCCTCTGGCTTGATCTTCACACCCAAAAGTCCAACAGACAGAGAATCACATCCCCCGCCCAGAGTAAGTAGTTCCTGTCTTGCCTGAGGTTTTTTTTTCCCAGTTCAAAAACAAGCCAGTAATGTATGAGAGTAAAGGAATCACCACATAATTTCTATCAATTACCCAATGAGAAGCAGCTGAATACTTCTAATTTTCTATCTTCCAGGAGCACATTTCTATCAGAATCATGAGTCCTCCCAAAACCTATGTCTTGGTGCTTGGAGTATTTCAGGGAGGAGAGAATACAGTATCTGGGCTTGCTTGAGGTTGTAAACAAGGAAAGGCCCATGACAGACAAGTGGAGCAGTCAAAGCATTCTGCAAACTAGAAAAATCAGTACTAATTTTGTTTACTGGAGCAATTAGGTAAATTCAAATAAAGAGAAGATATCATTCCACTCACACAATATTCCTATCATAGAAGTGGAAATGGACACTCTCAGTACAAAATCTATAGGACAAAACTGCTACCCTTTGAACTGGTGAAGTGTGTGGGAGGCATAGAGGAGGAGAAGTGGCCATAGAGCAAGAGAGCTAGGCACTTGTCCAGCATCCCATCCTCTAAGCAGCATAAACTTGTTTTTCTATAGAGTGGAAGTAATATTGACCAAGAAGACTTTCTAGTAAATATTTTTAAATTTATGCAGAAAGCCTTTAGCATGGTGCCTGACACATCAGACACAATAAATGTTATTTATCTTTAGGAGTAGTAATTGTATTTACTTCTAACCCACTGTTTATGCTAGTGAAGTGTTTAATGTATTTTAATGCATCACATTGCATTACCTCTAATTTTACACCTAAACATATGTAACTGTGTCCTTATCAATTAAGCTATAGGCCTGAGGGAACTTCTCCAGAGATCTCTATCCTTTCTTCCTACAAACCCAAACTCAAACTTTCAGTTTTGGGATATGCATTGTAATGACCCAGAAGGAAAGAACTTCTACTCAGTGTGAGCAAGTGGCAAGAAGGAGCAGCTGGCCAGGCCTCCTCCTGGAACAACAGGCCACACACTCTTCTCACTGGGATGGAAGTGCCAGACGACAGCCAGACTCTGGGCCTGGCCTTAACTTCTCGGAGAACTTCATTCTTCTAAGTGGGAGCCAATCACTGCTATGAAAGCAGAAATGCTGGAGACTGAGGAGAGGCGTCAGAGAGAGCCTTCCTTCTCTGCAGAAGCCTAAGCATCAAGCCTACTTGCATTTAGATGTGAAGAAATGGAAACACTCAAAACAGCCTGCAAAAATGTGCGCTTACCGTTAGTAGATTACATCAGTCAAATAGAAGCACCTGCCTCACTTTGGAGGACTCAGGTAGATAATTCCTTGTTTTCTTCTGAAATGTGTGCATACATGTATATGCGTCTATATTATAAACGTCCTTGTGACCATTACACCTATTAGTCTTTTGGGATCATTCTAAAATTTATCAAGGTTTAAGCTGAGAAATGTTATCATCAACATTCATTCAAATATAATGTTGACAAAATAAATATCTCAGTAGAAAGAAAGAAAAAAGCAGCTTCTGAAATGATGCTGAAAATAGCATCATGGAATATGTAGGAAATTGTGAAAATTGACTTCAAGACTGAGCTCTATGCACTACTTGGCTGAAACGTGTAAATGGGTGTACGAGTGCATCCACGCTGGAAGAGACTAACTGACCTCAAGGTTTGACTCTTGAGGCCTTGGGAAACATTGGTTCATCTTTCAATAGGGCAAAACTGCTGCTCTAATAAGCTCCTTAACTTTTCAGAGATGGTGATGGTGATGATGGTGATGGTAGCTGTGGTAATGATCATCATAGTGACGGTGGTACTGATGGTGGAGGTGGCTAATAGTGATGGTAAGAGGGTGGAAATGGCAATGCTGGAGGTGGCAATGGGTGGAAACTGAATGGCGGTGGTGAGAGAATGTCAGGAGATGGTGGTGGTGGTGCTAAGAGGATGATGTCAGTGGTGATGGCTGCAATGTCGGTGGCAGTGGTAACCATTGTAGCCATGATGATGGTTGTTGGTGATGATGTTCCTATGCTCTATGGCTCTGAATCAGAGACCCGACTTCTATAAATACTGTTGTTGATTTGAGAAGTGGGTAGACAGAGGGGAAACACTTAGGTCCCAGGACCTCATGGGCACAGGTACACGGAAAATGTTTGGTATTCTTTTTTCCTGTAACCACTCCACCTGCCTTTTGAAAGTTGTTTATTTTAGAGACAATGCAGGCAAAACAAACTTTACAAGCAATACAACAGTATATATCTATCTAAGAATGTATACTGTTCTAAAGGTTATAAAGTTTGGGAATTTGCTTGAGATTTTGTTTGTTCTATTTTTAAGTTTTTGTTTCTTTTTACTTTTTATCCTCGAAAAGTTGGAACATGTATTTTTGGAATATAGAAAACAGGTCTGGACATGAGTGGGTGGACACAATGCTGGGAGACAGCAAGGGGAAAACCCTTCTTACACAAACTAGACCAAACTTGGGTTTAGGTAGAATTTAGAAATAACTGAGGCCAACACACAGTCCCACAGGGTGGGTGAGTAGTCCTGGGACCAAACATGAAAGTGGGACCACAACTAGTGGCTGGAGCCCAGGGGGTGCTGGGGCAGTCAGTCAAATCCCTGCCTTCCTGGGGACAAAGGGTGACACTCTTTAGAACAGACAGGGCAGAACGAGTCCCTGGAAGGCCTTTAAGTCGCAGCTCACTTCACAGACAGAGGCCTGGTGCCAGCAACTCGGCTGATTCACAAAGGAAGGAGCGCAACGCTCACAAATGGTTTTCATTATCGTCTTGCAGTCTCCACCCTCATTCTGTGTGTGTGCTCTGCTTTTCTCCTTTTTTCATCTTCTCATGCCTTGTAACTAAACAATGAGGTGATTGCCATCCCAGTGGATTGCACAACATACCCAGCGGCTGGGCTGGAGCATAGCCTCCTCCAAGGGAATTCAGGACAAGAAAAATAAGCGCCCTGGAATTAAGGAGGGGTTTGTTATGCACAACACCTGTTTGTGCTTTTTAGCGCTTGTAATGCAGGCTGAAGGAGGGTCTGTATCTTGGTTCCTCGGCAGCACACCTGTCACTCGCCAGAGTGGTCTTTTCCTGCTTACATAAACCCCACATCACCAAAGCAAAGGGAGCCTCTTTCCGTTACCTAGGCACGTGGATTTGGGACCACTTATTATTCCCCAATATGGCATGAAATAATGATTTACTTTGGTTGAATAAACTGGCACAGCTGTGTAAAGAGTGTTCACTTCTGCTCAATAAACACTCATTAAATGCCTGCTCTAGGACAGCCCCATGGATAAAAATACATCTAAAACCTCAAGAAGTTAATAATCCAGTAGGAGCCTAAATTATCCCAAACCCCTGGATGACTGAGCATACATTTGACCGTGAGGAATGCCCTCCATGTTGTATTCTCCTTGTGACTCATTTTCCCTCTGAAAGAGCATCGACCCCAAGCAAAGATGCTATTAATTCACAGTGTGTGACAAGTTCAGCCAGAGCTAGAGATGACTGCCCTCAGCCAGAGCTAGAGATGACTGCCCTCAGTGGGTATGTTGTGCAATCCACTGGGATGGCAATCACCTCATTGTTTAGTTACAAGCCATGGCTATCGCTGGAGCTGGAACAGCTTCCTCCCTCTGACTGAAATGGATCCTTTCAAAAGCAAGTGTTTCAGTTTGTTACTCAGCATCTTTGTTGGCAAATGATTGCAGATAATCATCCCACAGCTGCAGAACATGCACTGCAGTTGCTAAGTCCCACTGCGCATGCGCAAGACCAGCCATTCCAGTCACGACTGGGACACTGTGACGACTCTCCGGCTGGAGAGGGCCTAATAGGGGCATGGGATGGACAGGAAACAGCATTTTGTCTTCTGCACCCAGCTGTGCCAGGAACTCCCTACCTGAATTTGGCCAAATAACTTTAATAAAAATCAATAAGAATAGCTACTAGTAATATTTATATAGTGCCATCTACTTACTGGGCACTGAGCTAAATACTTATTCAATTTAATCCACTTAATTGCCCAATGTGCAAGGTGTAATTATTCTGACTTTCGAGAGGAGACACTGAGGTGCAGAAAGGTTAAGTCACACAGTTGTTAAGTGATGGGGCTGAGGGGCAACCAACTCCAGGCCTCAGGGCCTGAGTTGGTCCATCTTTTAGGAAGAGCAGCCAGACTAAAGAGTGACTACTGGTCTTCACACCTCTAGCAATTATGGTAATTATGGTAGAACAACAGAGTCGTAAAGATTCTAAAATAAATTTGTTTCTATTTCTCTTAATCATTCAAACTGTTCCTCTTAAGAAGCAACAGGATGAGTGGCTGGTTTGTGTGTGTGTGTGTGTGTGTATGTGTGTGTGTACATGTACATGTATGTGTGCGTGCGCATGAGCATGTGCTTGTGTGTGATGAGTGAGTGTGGAAAACTATCTGCCCTCCTCTCCGGAATTTCTCATTACCCACAATGTTCTGGATCTCTGGAGACAGATGCACTCTGTGGATCTCTTGTTAGCTCTGGAGTGAATTTCCCCAATGCAGAGTTTTTCTGTTGTTCATGTTGTCATGGTCAAATAAACCCTAAGAGGAGGAACACTAGAAGATTGGGAATATTCTGAAACATAGTTATATGAGAATCAAAGGACTTCAGAAGGGACAGCAGATTTAAGTCTCCCCCGACCCTTCTTCCTAAGATAATGAAAGAGGAAGATGAAGTTCCTGAATTAGAGCTCAAGAATTCCTGCCACAGAGCGCTTCATTACAGTTAACCACCAAAATTCCCCATTTGGGACCAGGATGGTTAAAGCCATACACAGCAGTTGCCAAAAGAGCACAAAGCCCCCTGATGAACACACATGGAAATAAACTCTTCATCTGCAGATCTTATCTTAGCCGCTGGTTACCTGCGATTTGTATACGCGGCATGCCTGGGCAAAGCTGGGCCGAGTTATCTCTTTCATGCCTTGAGTCAGATTTTCTGGGTATGAAGTCAGCAGACAAGCAGGAAATGTCAGCACAGAGGGGTGAGGGAGATGACAATTCAGTGACAGCTGAGTTTCCAGGTGTCCAGTGTGTCCACTGTGATGTGTCTGGTGCTGGCTACTTGTGATCGTGTTTTCTTGGATGCAGGGTGATTGGGCTACAGCGATTTTTGCAGTGAAACTGAAGTCCAGCTGCTCAAACAGAAATGGCCTCGTCTCACGGACACTTTAACGAGTAAGGGTGGCATTTTACTGGAATTCCTTTATTTGGGTCCCTTGGCTCATCCCCTATCACTGCTTAGTGAAGGATAGGTGGCCTTTTTAAAAGCCCCAGGACCCCGTGTGTCTGTAAACCAGGATTTTTTTCTGGTCTTTTTCAGTGTTGTGGATCTTTAGCTTGTCTCAGTTTTTGAAGTTACATCTGAACGGCATTATAGACTTATGTGTTGTAACATTTCTTGACCTGTTGCTTGGAGAACATACCACACACAGAGAGGAAAAGGCTCACTCAAGAAGAGCAGAGGACATTTAATCCTGCAAAGCAAATGGAACAAAGGGCTTGAGTCTGAGTGAACACTCACTGGCACCCTTTTGTTTTCACTCAAGTCTCAGTCCAGGTGGCCGCCCCAGATCTGTCGAGGGCGGAAACCTCAATAGGTGCTGTTGCTGTCAAATGCAAACTTTGACTCCAACCATCCTGCGAGTCCCCTTTGTTCCCGGTCCTGCTGTCTGCTCTGATCTCCAAGTATGGGAACAACAGACCAGGGAAAGAGCAAACGCATAGCTGAAACAGATCTTTTTCTTGTGGTTTAAAGATCAGCCAGTTGGAACCAAGGAGATGTTTTCCTAGGGTCATAGAAAAGCTTGAAAACCTATTGGATTGTTTTTGGCACTGAAATGTAGATTGTAGATATGTCAGTAGTATTGCTACGCTGATGGGTTGTACCAGAAGAACTGTTATTTAGCAGTACATTCTTGCAAAAATATTCTGCCCACAATTCTTTTGTGGAAGATTGGTTTGTGTTTGGATATCTTATCTTCTACCACATTAATGTCCTTGTAATTACCCACACTTTGAAAATGTCTGCTCGGTGTTAGCTTTTAGAGAACTCATGAATTATTCCATTCAGGTAGACACCACAGAGATTATGGCCAGCCACACAAGAAAAGTCCACTCACATTCAGCACAAATGCTCTTTCCACCTGAAGCTCAAAGTCAGCCAGTCACAATCGCTTCTTCCTCCAGCTGCCTATCTCTCTGGGGAAATGCTGAGAAGAGTTTTGTAATTTACTCAGAATCTCCCGAGGAGCCATAGCACCATTTCTTTTTAAGGAATGTGACAAAGCACTTTAGAATTGTCAACATAGAAACATTTAGTCAAAAAGAATAGCGGTTCTGCTGAACTTTAATGGCTTTCTAAGTCCTTGGTACCAGATGCACTATTTTCCTACTGGATATGCCAAAACCACTAAATAGTTAAAATACATCAAATCATCCCAAAGTGGCCAAAACTGAATTTTTTCCAAAAAAAAAGAGAGTACTCCTAGTCAGCAAACCTCAAGTTCACATTCCATAGTAGAAAACTTTTAATTAGAATAAAAATTAGGAAAGGACTTGCAACACAAAAGATTTTAAATTCTTTTTCCCTTTATGTATAGGCTCAAATTAAGAACTGACATAGGAAAGAATTAAGGGAAACAGTTACAGCAATGAAAATCACCACAATAACAGTGAAACAACAACATATTTCTAATGCTTTACATTTCTATTAAGTTTTCTCAGCTCGACTGTAGCAGGTGGGAAGTAAGAAGAAGGAGGCTGCAGATATCCTAACATCTTTGTTGTGGTGTAGTCTGCTCTTGAGAGCAGTCATTGCTTTACAGAACAACCTGTGATGAATAGGCCAAAAAGTCCTTTGGGTCAAGCATTCCCAAGATTTAGTATTCAGAATGTCAGCAAATAGTCCTTCGGTTTGTTAATACTTAGCCAACCAAATACTAGGCCAACACCAAAGAACATCTACAGTATCACGAAAGAAGCAAAAGGAAAACCTTGAATTCACAAATGTCAATTTATACCTAGACAATTTGGGTAGCAGCAACAGGGACAATATTCCCTAGCATGTATAAGCCATACTCTCATACTTTTTTTGTCATTCATAATGTGACCATATCTGTACTTTATATTTTTCTGAAAGGTATTAGTTTCTTGACAATTTCTCTTAATTACTACTTCACCAGAGTCAATGCTAAGCTTCCTGTTGATCCTGCACAACAGCAGCTCCCACCCTGTCTTCACCCTGGGGTCACAGAAGGAGCTTTACAAAATTCTAATCCCCAGGCAGCACTCCAAACCAAAAAAATCAGGCTTCCTGGAAATGGGACACAGGCAGCAGGAGTACTTAAAGTTCCCCAAAAGAGCCCAGAATGTGGCCAGGGTTAAGAGCCATTGCTTAGAAGATTAGGAGGTAGCAGAAATTGGAAGCCAGGAAAGTAGATGAAATCCTCCATAAAATTCAAGAACAGAGGATTTGTGGGATACTTATTAGCGGAGTTAGCAGGTTTAAATAGATACAGCTAATGCCATGACTCTCCAGTAAACTACCTCCAGAGGCCAAGACAATTTCTTCCAACTCCTTCATCACATATTGATCAGATTTTGAACAATGTACCATTAATTTAAATTTCTTGGCTGAAATTGACCAAAATGTCATTAACACCTAAAGAAAAGGAAGGGGAAGCTGACGCAATGGTCCACAGAAAGCCATACAAACATACTTGCCTCCAGGTGCCTAGAAAGGGGAAGAGCCTTTGACTATTCCAAAGAATAGTCAGGTGGGCAGACCCCAGCCACACACTGACTCCAGGTCAGTACTCTCTTTGCCTTGGATCCTTCACTCCTGGGGAAGATTCGGTTGGATGGGGGCCCCCATAGAACCCCTAACGCAATAGAAATTAAGTGTACAGCATGATCATTCAAAGGGCTTTTAAACCACAGATTGTCTTGTTTCACTCCCAGAATTTTTGGCTAAGGATAGCTGAGTTGGACATGAGAATTTACATTTCTAACAAGTGTCAAAGATACAGGGATTGACTGTAGATAACCACAATCATCACCCCAATAAATTAGGTCTGCCTGAGTTGTCGAATTTTATATTTAGACTAATCTCACTTATTCTAATGATCTTCACTGGAAGGTATGCTAGTCTTAGTGGAACATCCAGAATACTTATAGACAGTTACTCTTACTTCTTTGGTTGTTCCACAAAAATGAAAGATTTTTACATCCTATAGAAGCAGACCACAGCAGTGAGAGCTGCAAAGTTAATTAGCACCTATTAATTAATGCATAAGATCCATCACATTCTCCTTTCACCCTACTCCACACCCCTGCTAAGCTGTGAACTCAGAAGTTCTATAGTGGCTTTCTTTCCCTTCTTCCTTGATGAACTATTCTTTCTTAAGAATTTTGTGTAGATGCTACCTCCTGTATGAACGTATTTCTTGACTAGTCTGGACAGATAAAACTAATTCCTGTCTACTCCATTTCTATAGTAAATGAAATATACATCATATTTACCAAAGTGTACTTTAAATTCTTAGTCTTGTGCTTGCATTTCCTCAGTTCTAGATTACCTGGTATAGGAAGCATTATATCTTATTCTTCTTAAATTCCTAGCACCCAGCACAAGGTCTAACACAAGGCTTACAAATTGAAGTGATTAATGACTGAAATAAATGTTAGAGTAGAGGAAGCATCCCTTATTAATCCAGTAAGGGTACAAATTGAAAAACATTATTTGCATAAAATCACAGATATTTCGAATCAGAGAAACCTTAGATATCATTTGTGCCAGCTACTGGACCTGTGGAAAAGGAATCTCAGCGATACCTAAAATGCCAAGTGACTTACTCAAAAAATTAGCAGATGCTGGATCAGGGTGCAGGTCTGTGGCTTCTCTGCTTTCCACCTGTGAGGTTCTGGGAAACGCCAAGATGAAAGGTTTGTAGAATAGATGAGATCCCCTTGCCCATGAGTATTGGGATCAGATAATGCCCACATCACCTTACCCAAGAAGAAATGCCATCATCCCTCTTCCATGCCAAATCCAACCCTGGGACAGAATGAAAACGTTCCTTGCCACCAAATTAATAGTTTTAAGGAAATTTGAAAATATTTTACCTCTAGCCTAAATTTCAGATGAGTATTGATTTTTTTTTTTAACTTCTGAGACAAAAAGGATATTTTGAGTGGGCTTGGAAAGGAAGAAGGATGAAAACAGGCCAGTCTTTAAATTCAGCTCCCATTGAAACCACTCTAGGGACCTTGCCAGGTCCCCACTCCTCTTCATGGTTGAGGATCTGAGGAACTGTGATGTCCTCTTCAACCTTTGCTTCCACAGCACAAGATGAGAGGAGATTGAAGGGAAAATGGCAGGGCTCTACACTGGAACAGGACATGATGGGAGGAAGGGATTTTGGAGTGAGAAAGAGATTGTAGACAGGAAGGATAAAGATATCATTCTAGAATTTTCTTTATAGCAAGTTCTAGGATAGATGTAATAGCTCACTGGTTTATTCATAAAATATGTCACTCTTCTTCTGATAGCCCTCAGTCCATTCCTGTGCCCACAGGATTCAGCCATAGGTACTGGCTATGTCCCTGTGGACCTGGCTTTTAGACCTTTTCAGCCCATTTTATAGGCCTCTACCATTCATGCTTAGTCACTGTAACTTCTCTCTACCTCAAGACCTTTGCCCTCGCTGTTCCTCCCCCATGGAATGCCCTCTTCCTCGTTTCCCCTCATCCTTCAGGTCTCAGTTGGAGAACCACTTCTTCAGAGAACTCTTCCCCAAACAACCTTTGTACAGTGGTCCCCTGATACACCTGCCTCTCTCGTCAGACTCTGTGTATTTCTTTCATGGCATAAACAGAATCTGAAGATATTTATGTATGCAAGGATATAAGATCCAAGAAAATAGAGACCTTGTTTGTCTCATTCCATGCTGTGTCCCCAACACCTAGAACAGTGCTTGGTACAGAGTAGACACTCAGGAAATATAGCTGAATAAATGAAAGAAGCATCTACATATTTTAGGTTTATAGAAGTTAAAGAAGAGAATGTATCTGTTACTTCCAGAAACTAAAATCAAATGGAAATTTTTTCTCACATTGTTATCTACTGATCCCTAAAATTTAACCTTCAGCACAGTGCTCTGAGAGTCATATCCTCTTTCAGTGAAAGCTCTGTATTACATATCAGGTGATAAGGGTGTCATATGCATTTTTATCAAGCCACCAACTTGCTCTGAATTGTCAGACCTTCATCTTCTTTTGTAATTTTTATTTTTTATTGGTAATATTTGCAGTAAATAATAATTACATTCCTTATGGGAAGATGGTACACGTACAAAGCACAACTTAATTCTTCTTCGCATCCCCTTCCTCTCCCCCAGCCACCTTCCTTCCATCTCTTGGTCCCATTCCCTTTTGAAAAATATCTATTTCCCTGTTTCCTACAATCTTTTATTTTGCTTTTTATTTATATTTGGGGTTTCTAATATAAAAGAAACCATGCAATATTTTCTGTAATTTATCTTAGATTGATGCAGAGTTGGGTCTACACATCTGTGCATATGTAAGGTGCAGAATAATTTCTTAACTTTAGGAGTTTGCCAAAGCAGAACTTTGGTGTGGGTCTCAGAACACCTGCACCAAGTACAAAACCAACCATGATGGTGTCCGGTCTGAAACCAAGAGCTTGAGAGACGGGCTTATGTAAAAGCAGGGCCTGCAATCTTGGTAGCTGGATTCTAGCTCTTTCTGGACCCCAATGCTGTTAAATTCTTTGGATTCAAAAATAGGACTGTCACTATTAGCATATCCCTTCCCTTCCCAGGGCACAGGTGTCCACCCATCTGCTGGGGACATGGTGAAGGGCCTGTCATCTAACATCAACTCTCCTTCTCTACAGAGTTCTGGCCTGTGGTCGTGCAGTGCAGGGGGCTGGATGGCATGCTGGACCCAAACTCAGTTCAGTGTCTGGGCCCAATAACAGCATTGCTAAGGGAGCAGCTTTCTATCCTGGCCACACTGAGGTAAGTACCTGTGGGATATCTGCCTCACCAAGGTTTCTAGGTCTGAACCTTCTGGGAGCAGAGGCCTCAAGGGACAGAACAGTTGCAAATGACAGGTGGAGGAGGAGAGTTAGACCTAGCTGTTCAGAGGGGCCTAGAAGAGCTCTTAGCAACTCTGCAAATGTGGTCTTCCAGCCTGTCCAGAGAGGAAGTCCCTCATGCCCTCAGCTGACTCCATAACTGGAGACAAGTCAAGAGCAAAAGAGCACAAAACCTTGAGTAGACAGCATAAGTTAGACCCTCCATATAACTCACTGGGTGGTCTAAGGAGGTGTCCTTCAGAGGTGGACGGTCCATAGTTACTGTTCATGCCCTTGGCCAGTAGAGCAGAAGTGTGAAGAAAAGTTCCAGATCTAACTACTGGCAGGCCTGGCTTTGAGTTCCACCTCCACCAGGCATGTGTACTGACCAAGTTTCTTACTCCACCTTTGTTTCCTCATCTGTAAAATGGAAGTAATATAGCCTACATCTCAGGTTTGTTGGAATAAGCACTAATGGAGGTCCTTATTGCACTGCATCCATTGTAAAACATGTCTCTAAGAATTCAGACCAGCAGATTCCGTTCCCATACATGCAGCCAGCACAGCCATCCTGGAGACCTGTTAACTCATAGGTGCTCATATATACCAGGGCTCTTGCCACATATTTCTATCATACGCATGTCAAGTGTTTTTGGATAAATTCTACATGATTCTCAGAAACCTGAAACACCAGACATAAAATGAATTACATAGTTAAATGTTCTGCTATATCTGAATTTGTGGCAACAGGAAGGTAAAACCCACAATCTGAACAGAAATTCTATTTCGATGTTGAGAATTGAATGAGTACATGACAGGACCTATCAGTAACGATGTATATGCAGTCTCAGACTTCTCTCCTCTAAAAGGTGCAGAAGCTGAGCAACAGACCAAGGGTCACAGGCTGAGACCGCTTCACACTAGCTGAGTGAACCCGCGTCTGCCAGCCTCTTCGAGGCTCTCCTCTGGAAAGTTACAGGATTGGGCTAGATTTGTGATCCTCAAAATGTGACCCCCAGGACAGTAGTGTCAATGTTACCTGGGAACTCGTTAGATATACAGATTCTCCTGCTACTACCAAATCTATAAATCAGACATTGTAGGGATGGGGCACAGCAATCTGCTTTAATAATCTCTCCAGCGATTCTGATGCCCTGAATTTTGAGAGCCTCTAGACTTCAGTCACTGATATCTCTTTTAAGCCCTGCCTCCTTCCATAAAATAAATACTATCTGGGAAATGCCAGCAAAGGAGTTAGATTTTATTCTGTCAGTGCTCTTCTGTGTCTAGCCTAGGACACCTCAGGGATTCCTCCCTAGGGAATCACGGAACCACAGAATTCCTCCTGGCCCCAACAGCCAAGAGTGTCTGACTGCAGGTTACAACCAAAGGCAGCAGCCAGTTTACATTCAGAGTGGAGGCCAACTGTAAAGCAATAAATAACTCTTGACCCGCTCTCACAATGTGGTGAAGGAGGTGGAAGAGGCTGGATTTCTTCAGCTATAAGAATTTCCTCCTTGTCAACAGTTAGTGACTCCATAGCCTGAGAATCACTAACTGCTCTTGGCACCCCTGTCTCCAAGGCAGATTGAATCATCTTGCTTCCTTCTACAATGCACCTTCACAGCCATGGTTGCCAGGCCTTCCTGTAATTTTGACCTTCTTAGCCACAAATATTTGAGCTGTTGCTCAGCTCTGTTCAGCAGCTTCATCACCTAGTCAGATGAGGATAAACTGTGTGAAGAGCATTCATCAAGTACAGGGAATTTCTCTTATTATTGGAGTGTGTAAACCCTGGTAGTCTGCAGAGTGCTCTGCTAGCCAGGAAGAGGACAGCAGGGCCAGAAAGCCCCTGGAGGCTGGAATCAAAACCATCCTGATGCATTTCCCCTTCTTAATCACTTATCTTCCATTCTGGGTGGAGCAGAATTAATAAAGAGCATTCACACCTGACATGTAACATGTTCCTTGTGAGCCCCTAATTGCATCTTCTCAGCTAATCATTCACCTCTCAGAGCTGTGCTTGATGAAGCCACATGGAGGGCTGTCATCTGTTCAGGACAAAGGCTTCAAAGGTTGTTTCAAAAATAAATAAACAGACTCTCCCCCTCAGTTTACTTTAAACAGGGGAACAGTATTCTTCTCTAAACTATGTATTACATCACTAGAATAGAAAGCACATAAGTTATTTATTTTCTTTGTATCCACTAATGATTACTTCTAAAAGAACTTTCCTAAAAATTTTAAAAGATTCTAGGAACACACTACTATGAGCAAATCAAGTTTTTTTTTTTCCTAAAAAAAAGAAACTACTTTTAAATTTGGAACTCAAGATATCAGTTTGAGATATTTTCAAATCTAAATGAAACTATTTGTCCATGGTGCAAATCTCCACTGCCATTAAATGATATCAGGTAGGTACCACACGGCAACTGAACAGGGAGTTTAGGAATAGCATTAGACTATAAGAACTTTGTGACATCAGTTGAGTAGAATGAGCAAATGATAGGTAGAGTATAAAACTTTACAATATTGTAAAGTTTAAAAATGTTAGAGTTGGAAGATACTTTAAACATAATCACTCAGATGAAGAAGGAAATTTATCTCCTTGGAAATTGGAAAAACTCTCCAGTCACAGTGACGCTGAAGTTGAATGTTGAAAGGAGAAAAGGATTCCAGTGAAAGAGAATGTTTCAGTTATTTTTCCTGTTGCTGAGACAAAATACCCAACAGCTAAAATGAGGGAAGGAAAGGTTTATTTGGCTTCCAGTTTGTAGAAGTTTCAGTCCATAATCAGCTGATTCCAAGGAAGGGTGGCCTGTCAGACAGACATCACAGAGGACAAATAGTTCATGGCAGGCAGAAGGTAACAAAGCAAGCAAGCAAGGGGCAAGACAGGACTCTTTCTGTCCCTTATATTGTATCCAGGCTACCAGGATTAGGGCAATACCAAACCAATCAGTGAACTAATTTAATTATCATAGCACCCTTAATCCTAGCATGGCACCATGAATCAATTACACACTCTAGATTTGGCCACCTCTAAAAAGGCCCCACCTGTGACTGCATAGATCTTTGGGAAGAACATCTTGACACCAACCATTACGTTCCACCCCTGGCCACCCAAAGGCTCGTGTATATTCTTTTGTGCAAAAGGCATTTCGTCCATCTCCAAGAGTTACCAACAGTTTCAACATTGCTGAAAAGTTCAAGCCCAAAGTCTCCCCTGAGATTTAAGGCAAACTCTTAGCTATGAGCCCCTATACAAATAAAAAGAAAGTTTAACACTTCCAGCATACAATGGCACAAGGTAAATATTACTATTCTAAAAGGTACAAATATAGGGATACAAAGGAATGGGACCAAAGCCAGTCCAAAATCCAGCAGAGCAAACATTAAGTTCTGTAGTTAAATGTGTAGCATCTGAGGTAATCTGTGCCAATTGGCTTGGGTGGCTCTGCCCCATGGCACTTCCCTGGGCCACCACCATTCTGGAACGTGGTGCTCTGGGGCTCTCTTCTCAAAGCAAAGTCTTTCACTTTTGCAATTTTAAGGCTGCAAAGGGTGGAGTCCTGCTGCTTCTTGTGATGCCCCTAAGCCATCTTTTCTATTCTTTTGTTCCTTCTCTGCAATCAAGATCACTGCTTTATCTTTGCAGGTCACAGCTATACTGTAGCTTCCTTTCTGCCAAATTAAAAATGTTTTAAATCATTCTGCTGGCCTCTTTGTTCTTCATTTTCAACATAAATCTGGCTAAAAACCCCCAACAGTAGCCATTCTACCACCTCAACATTAGACTGCCTTGAAATTTCTTGTACAAAATTAATTAGCTAGTGCTCTAAATCTCGTCTCAGGCAAGGTGTCCAGATGTGAGCAAAATGCAGACAAACTTTCTGCCAAGCCATACTTTCTGCCAAGCCATACTAGCAGAAACCTCCTGAGCCTGGTCTTTACCAGCAGAATTTCTGTCAGCCTTCTGGTTTTCTGAGCTCTGACCGGACCTCCCCATCAAGTACAGCCTAGGGATTTCCAGCTCTACTTTCTTGGCCAGTATCTTTGAACCTTTCCAAACTCTTTCCACAAGCTATTCCCAAAGGCTCCTGTATTAGTTATTTTTCTCATTACTGAGACAAAATATCCAACACTCAAAATTAAAAGAGAAAAGATTTATTTAGCTCACAATTTGTAGAGGCTTCGGTCCATAATTGGCTGACTCCAAGGAAGGGTGGCACTGCAGACAGGCATCACACAGGACAAATAGTTCGTAGTGAGCAGAATGTAACAAAGCAAGGAAGCAAGGGGCAAGACACGCCTCTTTCTCTCCCTTATATTGTATCCAGACTACCAGGACTAGAACAATGCCAAACCAATCAGTGAACTGATTTTTTTTTGTTTTGTTTTGGGTTTTTTTTTTTTTTGGTTTTGATTAGTAATCACCCTTATTCACAGTACTCTTAATCCTAGCATTGCACCCTGAATCAATCACACACTCTAGATTCAACCAACTCTGAAAAATCTCCACCTATGACTGCATGAACCTTTTGGGGGACATCTAGACACAAGCCATAACAGAGAAGGAGAGCGGAAAAGGTCAAGGAGAGCAAGAGGAGCATTCTGAGGGAAGGGGCAGAGGCAGAGACAGGAGCAAGGGCAATGACGGAAAAGCACAAGGCAGGAAGTCTCCCAGGAGCTCCTTTGCCTGGAATACAAGCTAGGAGAGGGGACTAGGAAGGACTGCTTGAGGCCAGGCTGAGCAGACCTTCTAGCTCACTAGACAAAGGCCCACCACTGGATCCTTTGAATGATGTGGTCAGAGCTTTGAGAAACTGCATGTGGACAGCAGGGATGAGAAGAATGATGTGGTCAAAGCTTTGAGAAACTGCATGTGGACAGCAGGGATGAGAAGCACTGGAAGAAGAGAGATGAAGATCCAGGACGTCAGGTGGGAGATAGATCCTACAATCTGGGGTACAGATGTGAGGTTGGAAACAAAAGTACAATCTCAAGGAATGCTACCACAGCAAGACCAAGGAGACTGAATAGAGGACTAGATTGAAGATGTAGAGGAAAAAAGTGGAATTCAGGGTTGAGCTAGGGTTTGGTGCTGGTGGATGAAGATATGATGATGCCACTAACAGGAAAAGGAAAATATAGATAAGCACTTTTAGGAAGATTGGGAAGATGACCAAAAGAAATAGTAGTGTCAAAAAAAAAAAAAAAAAAAAAAAAAGAGATATTGTTGTGTCAAAAAAAAAAAAAAAAAAAAAAAAAAAAAAAAAAAGAAATAGTAGTGTCAGAACTGCTTTGTAATTTATCAATTAGTCTAAAGTGGTCCTAATGCTATTAAATTCAGAGGACAAAAAATATAGGAATACAGAAGGAAAGAGACTTCAACACACTTGTTAAAGATTTGGGGTTTGGATGTCTTGCATCAAAAATGCCAGTATCTGTGAAAACTTGTCCTCATAAACCTGGAGGTTCAGAACTGGCTCCAAAGAAGCAAGTGGCTAGAGATCCATGTAGGGGCATCTACTGCACAGAAAGTTCATGAGCTCCTCAGACGAGGATGGGCTTTCCAAAGGACACTGTGGATGAAGAAGTGTGGAGCAAGGAGCAGAGTGCCTCTTACTTCCATTGAAACTGTAAAGTTTAGTCAATTTTTCTTCATTTCCCTATCCAAATTCTAACAAGTGTTACTAATTTGGGTATAAAGTGATGAATTTCCATTTTATTTCTTCTCCCTGAATTCACCTGATGAAAGATATTATGTACTGAGAAGAAAAAAACACGAAACAAGAAAAGAAGCAAAAGTACAAAGCTTGAATTAGCTGCCAACAAATAATCAATTCCTCAGGAGTTGGCTGGATATTTATCAGCAAGGCCATTAGCCAGCAAATTTGATAGTGGTCAAAGCCCTGATGTACCACCTCCTTCTCTGCATGGCTGGATGACAGACTTGGGCAAACAAAACCATGCTTCAAAATAACCAAAGGGAAAAGAATTTGGTGGTTTCCTTCTTGATATTTCACCAAAGTGCTGTCTCCTCCCAGCTAAATAAAAGCATAGTATTGAGAAAAACTCACTGTTTCAAAACACATTGAGAATGTGGTGTGTAGCCCTGTGCACAAAATAAAAAAGAACCCATGACTATGGTGGACAGAAAATAGGGCAAGCTCAACTGGCCACCCCCATTCACTTTGCCCTCATTCTCCTGGTAGTTTTTCAGGTCATACTACATGTAAGACACTGAACATGGCCATGGCGTGATTGAAATGCATGTCACATAGCTTCTAAGGTCCTCTTGGGGAGACAGAGAGAGGGCTGTGCTGGAGAAAATGAGGCAGATATACTCTGAGGGACAGGGTAAGCAGCTACACAGATGGACACAACATGCTCTTCCCTCTAGGACTCATGGGAAATGGGAGACAGGCCAAACACTAGCTTTGAAAGAAGTCTGAGAAAGGAAAAACAACGTTCTGGGAAAAGTCATAGATGGAGGGTACCCAGAGAGTGAATAATCAGCAATAGACCTGAAGAAGACACAAGGAGATCAACATGACTCAGAATTAACATAGATTTTATGAATAGCCACTTAATCCTAGTAACCACTCTGAGAAGTAGCATGTTTTGTCCGCATTTATCAATAAGAAAACAAAGACTCGGAGGGATTAAGTGGCTTTCTTCTTGCTAAAAAGTAGTTGAGCTGGATATCCAAAGATTTCTAACCTTACAGCTAATGCAGAATTCTTTTTATTACACAAATGTAACAGGAAAGAACACACACACACACACACACACACACACACACACACACACTTGCAGATAGGCTATTCTGAAGTTCAGAATAGAAAGACACCACTCACTTTTTTGTTGTTTTTATGAGGCTAGGGTTGAACCCAGTGCCTCACACATGCTAAGTAAGTTCTCTGCTACTGAGCTGCACCCCAAGCCTTTTGTATTTTTTTTTTTATTTTGAGATAGGCTCTCATTAACTTTCAGAGGCTAATCTCATACTTACAGTCCTCCTGCTTCAGCCTCCCAAGTAGCTGGGATTACTGCTGTTCACCACTACACCTTGCTAAAAGATCACTTTTGCTTAGGGGATCTGATAAGGCTTCAGTGAGAAGATGGTGGAAAAAAGATGGAATTAGAAATTTGTGGAACATTCTCTAGGAGATGCCTCTACTTCTACTGAGGAGAAAATGAAAAGATGTGGAGCAGAAGACTGAAGGGGGGCATTTGCTATGCATCTGCAGGTGTGAATAGGGGCTCAGAGCAGCTTCAGGACCCCCAGAGCAGAGCTATTGATTATTTGACTGAAGTTTTGGCAACTGTAGTACAGTGTAGAACCCTCTTGGGGACAGACAGGTTCATGCCATTTGGTCTTTACTAGCATAAGAACAAATAACAAAAAGGAAAGACATGTTCAAGAATGAAAGGTAAAGTGAGTGAAGGAAGGAGGATGGGTGGAGAGAAGAGCAGACTGGCTTGGTAAGGGGTCGATGATGGGATTCTATTTAGCTCCAGTTTTGTGACTTTGGCCTGTTGGTTGATTTTCTGGGAATCAGTTTCCTTGTATATGAAGATAGTAATTTCTAACCTCACTCACAAACTAATGAGAAGTTAGAAGTGAGCACATATGAAAAGTGCAAAAACCTCACCAAAGAGGGACCACTAGCAGTAGCATGTTTCTATGTATAGGATGGTGGTTGAATATATGCATGTAGTTGACTAGCATGGTCCCACAGCCACAAGTCTCTTGCCAAATATGCTGGCTTGAGAATTCGTAACAAGGGCTCTGAGTCACTAGGTCTCAGAGCTGACTCAGGGCTACTGTCTGAAGGAGAGTGTTCAGTGCCCAAGCTTTAGGCAGAACGTGAAACCTCCTGAGACCCTTTTGGTAGCACTTCCCACTACTCTATTGGCTAATCCTCCTGTCTTTTTCACCCCAGGTGCACAGCGTAATGTCCATGTTGTTCTACACTCTGATCACAGTGTTTTTGATCGGCATCCAGGCAGAACCATATTCAGACAGCAATGTCCTATCAGGAGACACCGTCCCCCAAGCCCACTGGACTAAACTCCAACACTCCCTTGACACAGCCCTCCGAAGAGCCCGCAGTGCGCCTGCTGCACCGATAGCTGCCCGGGTGGCAGGGCAGACCCGCAACATCACTGTGGACCCCAGACTGTTTAAGAAACGGCGACTCCATTCACCCCGTGTCCTGTTCAGCACCCAGCCCCCACCCCTGTCTACAGACACTCAGGATCTGGACTTCGAGGTGGATGGCGCAGCTTCTGCCAACAGGACTCACAGGAGCAAGCGGTCATCCACCCACCCGGTCTTCCACATGGGGGAGTTCTCAGTGTGCGACAGTGTCAGCGTGTGGGTTGGGGATAAGACCACAGCCACGGACATTAAGGGCAAGGAGGTGACAGTTTTGGCAGAGGTAAACATTAACAACAATGTATTCAAACAGTACTTTTTTGAGACCAAGTGCCGGGACCCCAGTCCCGTGGACAGCGGGTGCCGGGGCATTGACTCCAAGCACTGGAACTCATATTGTACCACGACCCACACCTTTGTCAAGGCACTGACCACAGACGACAAGCAGGCTGCCTGGCGCTTCATCCGGATAGACACTGCCTGTGTGTGCGTGCTCAGCAGGAAGGCTGCGAGAAGAGGCTGATCCTCCCGAAGGCCCCATTTCCCCCCTCCCGCTCCACACTCCTGGGCCCCTCCCTACCTCAACCTGTAAATTATTTTAAATTATAAGGACTGCATGGTAATTTATAGTTTATACAGTTTTAAAAAATCATTATTTATTAAATTTTTGAAGCATCCTGTGTGCCGGCACTTAAGTTCTTCTTCTCGGTAAGTTTGACTGTAGGTTTTAGCAACATGTAGGCTGAGTTGTCTCCTGCAATCCCTGGTCCCCTCTGAAGCCCACCTGTAAATACAGCCCTCCCTCTCATCCTGTGCCACTGCACTGTGACTTCAGGAAAGGAAGGTTAACTGGTTGCAGCTATTAGCCTGAGTGGAGCATGATTAGGAAGGGATGTTTGAGAACTTCGACTTTATTCTACATTCCAGAGCCAAATCTACCTAATCCCTGGATTACCTGCCCCACGGCCTAGATCCGAGAGCCTTGATTACTTTACTTAGGGAAGTCAGTGGCCTCTCATCAGAGGAAAGACCACCGCTGCCCTGGACCTCAGAGAGGCCCAGGCTGTGTCCTGCAGGGACTCACTGTATAGACAGGAGAAGGCCTACAGTGAAGCCCTGGGAGGCTGCTTGTTTTAGGGGGAGATCTGCTGTCTGGAAGAGTCGTAATAAAATAATCTCATGAGGCCTGTCACGGTAGATCTGATTTCATGTTACAATTACCTTAGTGCTGATGGCTGCTCCTCTGCTTATCCCCCAGTGGCTTTCGGCAGAAAGACTTCATTACCCCGAGAAAACATTAGGGCCTCTGACACTCTCACCACCCACGTTCAGGCCCAGCAGCAACTTCCAGTGGCCCAGACATCAGCTCACAACCAGGGACCAGGCTTTTGAAAACATTTTCATTCCTAGTGACATGATTTCTGTAAGTGGCCAGGGGTGGCTGGGGCCATGAGGCTGGTGAACAGGGCTGGGGAAGAAAACACAAAGCTAAATGGAGTGAGAACCAACAAATAAGTCCAGGAAGATTCACCAGAGAGGGGAGCCAAGCCAGGAGGGAGCAGCGGCTCTCTGCTCCTGCTAAGAGCCAAAGAAAACAGGGGAGGCGAAAAGAAGAACCAGGCAGGTTATGGGCAAGGGCAGGGGAGGGCTGAGCCGGAGGAGGGAGGTGTCCTCTCACCTTTACCAACACTCTGAGTAGCTTTGTGGTTTGGTTCGGTTTTGCTTTGTTTTTAATTTGCTTAAGAACCCTGAATGTATCAAGGGCAGTTTAGAGAGGGATGAAAGTGACAGACAGACTGCAGGTTCCGCCCTGGAGCAGGGCTTGACTCAGCCTCACTCCGCCACCTTCCCCCGCAACTTTCAGTTTGTGTTTTCCCTCAAGCTACAATGCAAAAGTCCCACGTGGAAATTTTACTCTCCTGCCCGTGTCTTCTTTCTCTGCAAGGATAAAATGCCTGCTCTGGGTTTAAGACCACAGGATCAAGTTGTCCATAGGCTAAAAAAGCAATGGCTAGTATTCATTTCCTCTACAACTCTGACTGTCCTGACCCACCCCCAACCCAATCCAAACAGGGCAAATTGGAAATGCAGGGACCTTTGGCAGGAGAACCATTTGATTAGGGGAAAACTTGATGAAATGTGCCCTGTTTTTTCTATCAAAGCCAGTGCAACTGGAATAAAGATTTATGTTCAAGAAACACCAACCAGAACATTCTGTGCTGAGATGCTTGGTCGGATAAAGGCCTTAGAAAGGGAGCACTCCCACTGACCTGTGTCTGTGGGTTTTTGCAGGGTTCCAGTGCTGGGGGATCAGCTCTCCGGGACCTCTTCCGCAGACAGATTCTAGGGCTCTTGTTCTTGTGGCTGATCAAGCCTGCTAGGTCCTGGGTATGGAGAAAGAGTAGCAGGGAGAGAAGCATTCAGAAGCTCCCAGACAGGACAGTTGTGCTTGGGAGCAGCTACACCAGCAAAGACAGAGCCATTCCCAGTGCTGCAAAGCTCTAGGGACATCTGAAAAATGTCTTTGGCTCCAGCTCTGGCTCCTGCTTAGTCTTCCTTAGAGGACTTGCCATCTAAATATCTGAGAAAGGAGGGAGGCTGAGGGCACCTTGTTTCCATGCCTGTTGCTCTCATGCCTTGCTGGTAAGAGGAGGGCCCCTCACCCTAGAAACGCCACCCACTTCCCCAAAGGCAGAACTCTCTCAGGCCAACCCTCTGGAGTCCCAGCGTGGGAGCCAGTGCTTTCACACTGTACCAATGGATATCAGTTTGGCCAAGCAGAATCAGAGGGGTCCAAAAATAACCCCGTGCCTGGTGGTTTCCTTGACTTGGACCCTACCCTCCACATGCAGGTGGAGCTCAGGGATTCAGACCCACCCAGCTTCCTGAGAAGCTGGCCAGGCCACCAGGCTGCAGCCACTGAGCACCTGAAAACACAGCCCCAAACCTCCTGTCATGTTCTGCTGAGGAATAGCAGACTATCCCTTTACTTCTCCTCGTACCTCATGGAGACTTTGCTGCCTGGGCTCCCCAAAAGACCAGAGGGAGGGAACAACTTCTTTTGGAAACCTCCTTCACCAGCAGTAAGCCAGAGAGAAGAAGTGCTCCTCACTCATCCTCAACCCTCCCAGGAAGGTTCCTGTGTGCCTGGGCTGGAGCAAAATTTCTGACTGGGGAGATGATGGCAGGATGAGGCCCTGGAATCCGGGCCACATTCCCACTTATTCCTTAAACTTCCCCTCCCCCAGTCAGAGTGCCAGCCTCCCCAGAGTAGCTTTCTCTCCTAGAAGGAAGCTACCACTGGGTACAGGTTCTCAGCAACTATCAAGCAGCTAGGTGTGTCTCTCCTAAAAACCCTCTGCACCTTGGGGGAGGATCTGGAGTAGAAGACAGAAAGCAGGGTGTGTCTTCCCTGGGCCATGTATTCTCTACTTCTGGAAGAAAAGAGACAGACAAGGGAAGACGGAACAAAATGGAAGCACAGGCTCTCAGGAGCACAGGGACCTGGACTCAGCATTGACCTCAAAGTCTCCCCACCAGAGGTCAGAACAGAACAGTGGGAGGCACCAGACCACTCAGGGTCAAGGTCTTAGCCAACACTGGTGATGCGGAGGCAGCCCCACATGATGGTACAAACTGGGACATCATCAGCAGAGCTAGGTGCTCCATTCCTGTGAAACTTTGGCCTTAGCTTCTCTTGGAGCCAGGTTCTCACAGTTGTGGAATGAAAATAGTCATTCCTATGTCTGGCAGTTGTAAGCACACAGCGTAAGAGGGCACTTAGACCCACTGCGGTCCTATTGAAGTATGACACAAAGTAATTTATTTCAAGCTTAGCAATGCTGGTATTGATTTAGTAGAGAAACTGCAATGTTCATGCTCACTAGATGTTTGTTTAGATGTTTATTGGTGGACGTACAGAGCAAGTAGGAAGCCTGTGGTCAATAGACATCATGGAATATGAATGTGACAGAACCAGGATTGAGAAGGTAAGGGAAAGAATGCAGTTCTCCAGCTTCAGTTCTGACCTGAATCTGGTCTCAGGGGAGGCCACCTACTTTCTAGAAATTCCACTGAAGAGATGAAAAGCATAAACTTTGGCATCATACAAGCGAGGCCTTCCCACTTAGGCTGTGTCACCTCAAGCAAATTGCTTAACTTTAATTTGTTTATTTGTGAAAAGCAAACAATTATAATGCTTTTACCAACGCTGAGAGATGATTAAATTTTATCTACATTTATATCTATATTATCTATATCTAATTGTATCTGCCTGGCATTTAAGAAGTATATCATAAATTTTAGTTTTGAAAAGCAGAGTTGTCACAAGAAACACTAAAAGAACATTAGAATGGGGTGGAATAGCTTTCCACAGGCAAGGTGTATCACGAGCAGGCAGCTTTGCAGCTGTGTCATAAGCTCAATGCAGGGACAACCTATAATGTTGTGCTGGTGGTCATAGAGCTTGCAGTGTGCCCACGCAGTCCTGAGCACTTTGTGTGCATTAGGTCCAAGCAAGCCTTAGAACTCTGAGACCAGGGCTGGGGATTTAGCTCAGCGGCAAAGCGCCTGCCTGGCAAGTGCAAGGTTGTGAGTTCAGTTCCCGGTACGGGAGAAAAACCAAAAAAAAAAAAAAAAAAGAACTCTGAGACCAATGACCACCTTACATGACTGGGAAGGCTGCATTTTCTGCTTGCATACAGCACAGCCAGAAGTGCTCCATTGTTCTCTGGGAAGTTTATTCCCCCAGCATTTGGCAAGTATAAACCATTGACTCCGAGTGTTTTCAAGTGTCAAGAACATGGGATATGCTTTGCTGCAATTCACTTGTGTCTTCCACTTGAAAAGCTCTGACCTTCCCAAAGCTCACCTGGGCTTGTGGAGATATCTCAGGGGACTGAGACTAAGAGTAAGTTGGGAAGACTTTCCCACAACAGCAGTGCAGGAGAGTCCAGCACACCAGGGCTGCTCCCTAACATTAAGGATTTGTTACATCTGTGTCCCTTCAGCCCTAAACCTAATGTGGCACTCAGTGGGCACTCAATCAGCATCTCAGGGGACGTAAGGCAGAATTTAGCTCCCATCTCTCTCCACAGACACCATCCCCAACTCTCTGTGCTATGTCCTGCACCAACCTTGTACAAATGGATTGAATGAAGACAAGGCCCTTCCTGAGGCCACAACATGGCAGGCATCTGAGTTCCTCTAGAGGGACATGTCATGATGAAGAATAAAATCAGACTATCAGGGTGAAAGCCTAGACTCACCACTAGCTAGGCTGAGTGGTGCTGGGCAAGTTACTTGTCTCTGTACTTCAGTTTTCTTGCACACAAAATGAAGAAGACATTTCATTTGCCACTTTGTCTTGGAAGGCACTTAGTCCAGTGATTGACACACAAATTATTGTGTACATACCATATAAATGTAGACACAGCCATTTCTACACATATGCACAAATATAAGCACAATATACAAATACGTATCCCTACAGAAAGATTGTATGTGTGTGTGTGTGTGTGTGTGTGTTTATAAAACCCCTGGGAGAAAAAGCAGTCAGGAAGTATACATTCTACACTCCTATCTACACATTGACCTAAAAACACACAAATCAGTTATGAGCAGTTCACATTCCAAATGATGACCACAGAAAAAAGAAGTAATCCAATAGAAAGAGTAATTCAG